AACTAAATATTAAAATAAATAAGCTAAGTAATAAACTTAATTTTAAAAAATATAAACTTTATAAAGTTATAAATAAAATTAGACTTATTAATTATAAAATAAAGCTTTTACTTACCTTAAGGAAATAAAAAAGAATTATATATTTAAATTTTTATATTTTACTATTAAAAAAAGTATTAGTAAATAAAAAAATAAGTAAAGTTATATAAAATAAAATTATTATTTAAGGTAAGGAACTTAAGTATAAAGTTAAAAAATTTAAAATAATAAAATTTAATAAAAATACTTAATAAACTAAATACTTAGTAAAATAAAAAAGCTATAATAAAATAAAAAATTTATAATAAATTATTAAAAACCTTAAATATTTAAAAAACTTTATAAATAACTTTTATTAAAATTTAAATTTAGTAAAAAAAAATTAAAAATATTTTAATTAATAATATTAACTATAGAACCTATAATTATAAGATTAGTTAAATTAGGTAATAATATTACAGCCTAATAAATAACCTTTACTTTTTAAACCTCCTACTCCTCTTACTTAATATATTTTAATTTCTTTAAATTATTAATACTATAAGTAATAGCCTACTTTATCTACTTTAACTACTTACGTTTTTAAGTATAAAAATATTTTACTTAAGTACTAGCCTTAAGCTATACCTCTTTTACTTTCTCTAACTTTTTATTTAATTTTAAATAATAAGTTATTACCTTACGTATTTATTATAAAGTAAGACTAAATATTTTATAATAAGATTTTTAATTTTAAATATAAGAAAAATACTAATAGGAATCTTTTTCTAAGGTAATATAATTATAGCTTTACTTTTTATAGTAAGTATATAATTTTATAATAAAAATAAAGTTTTTTAATATAATATTAATAAGGCTTTTACGCTTTTCTTTCTTTTACTTAAAAATAAGTTTATTATTATACTTACGTTTATAATTAATTATAATAAAAAAATAAAAATAAAAAGTAAAAGATAAAAAAATTATAGTATTTATTAATAAAATAAAAATAAATATTTATATACTACCTTAATTAAGTCTTAAGGATAAAACTAATAAAAGGGGGAGAATTATATTATAACCTAGCTTTTAAGGTTATAATAATAGGCTAATAAGTTAGCTAAAACTAGATTAACTATAGACTAATAGACTAATTAAGATTATTAATATTCTTTAATAAGAAAGCTAGGAAAGCTAACTTTTTAAATAATTTACTATAAGAAAGTTAAAAAAGCTAGCTTTTTAATATAATCTAAAATATATAATTACATATATAAGTTTACTTTATATTACTTATTAAAATACTTAAATAGCTAATTATTATTATAGCGTTTATAATATAATTAAATTAAAATATAGATATTTATTTTTATTTATATTACTAATTAGTAATAAAATTGCCTATTTACTAACCTAATCGCTCCGCTAATATAAACTATAGAACCACTCTAAGGTTTATCCCTTAGGAACAGCTAACCTATAGTACCTATAGGACCCGGTTCGTTATATTTATAAAATAAAATAATTTTATAAGATTATATTAAACTAATGTATTATATATTAAATTTAGTATTAAATTCCTCTAAAATATATTTGTAGATTTTTAATATAGTATAGATAATGTTAAATATTTCCTATCCTAGGCCTAGTTTTTTAGTATATTTTTCAGGTAGGCCCTTAGGGACGATAAGTTATGCACTAGGAAACTTAGCTTTTTATAAGCTAATTTATATATAGTGTTCTAGGTTTGGAGTGATAATATATTTAACTATTTTATTTATTGCGATGAGTGTATTCCGTATAATATTTGTTAATAGCTCCGGTGAGATAATAATAAGAGCGCCGGATTAAAGCTACACTGTAATTTCATTAGGGTAAAGGGGCCTAAATCTGCGAAGGAGACTTACTAATAGTAGTTCGCCTGCCTGTTTTAAGAAGTCTTAGCTGTGTGAATAGAATATTAATAGTCGTAATGCTGGGGCTTACTCAGCGAACTATAGTTAAGTCGAAGTTATTTTTTCCTGCCTTTAGCTTGCTTTTGGGAGACATCTTTCACGTCCTAGTGGTTACTAATAACGAATCGAGTATAAGGAATGGATAGAATTTTATTACGACTTTAATGGATAATAATAAGTACTATATTAATACTTATAACTTTTACAACCCTCTCTAGATGTATTTAATTCGCATGCCGACATACGTCACGAAGAATACCATCGCCCGAACGCACATTACTGATGCTATACCATACGGTGGCACAGCTTCGCTCGCTGACCTAGTGCGCGGAGGGGCCGATCCTTGCAGTCAGCATGTCGCTGCTTAGCCACACCCCTCAGTACTAACGATGGTAACTAAAATCTTTATACGGAGTACTACATAGACACTCAATCCCTCCAAGTAAGTCATCTAACCCAAGGAGTATAATATATTTTATGGGTCTATTGGTTGATACTCTGCATTTGCTTTATAATTAACTATATTTCATGTACCATTTCAGAAATGGCTTGACTGGGATCGGAAACAGCCCGCCGGTAAGGGCATGGTATATCAAGAAACTTGTACATATGAAGTTGGGTGATATTAAGAGACGCTATTCATAGAAAAGAAATTGCTGAACCAAAAAGTATAAGTATTGCTTCTATACCTCAGATTCTCCAACTCGAGTTGGTTGACCTAATAAGCAGCTGCCAGCGATCTGGAGCTGTTTAATAACAATGGCGAAAACTTCTCTGCTATATCTTATTCTTGCCATTGTAGCTGGTACCGCCGCCGATAATAAAGTTCTTCAGCACCTAAAGACATCTTATGCCCATCTTAAAGCGCTATATATCCCCAGTGCTAGAATTATATTAATTAATATAATAGAATTATGGAATTATACCGTCCCTGCCTTCCTAGAGCTTCTCCTAAATCCAGTTTCCGGCCTAGACATCTGTACCATTAATATAGTACTTACTTATTAAGGTATATATAATAAAGTCCTTGTCAAAGTCTAAATACCCTTAGAAAATTAAAACGGAAGATTTCAGGCTAATAAAGAAGTCGGCTATATAGCCGGCGAGCTAGATCTTACTCTAGGCCCTACTATTAAACAGGGCTACTCCTCCGCATTTACTAATACAGGTGTAAGCTTTAATCCCTTATCCCCTAAGGCCTAGGCCTTACGACTAGATAGTTCCGTAAATCAAAATGTACTTATTAATTTCTCCTATCGCTTAGTCTATGATATAGTATTAATTAGTAAGGAGATTACGGAGCAATTTTATAGCCAGAAACCCAAATACTTATACTAGAACGGATGCTTAACAGGTGGACGGCAGGCAATCGTTGCAGCGCAGAGGTACCCAGATCTTTTTAATGGGCAGTGTTGCTAATAATATAAACAATACGTATATCGGCAATATGGACCCCCCTCACAGTATTATTGTATTGTCATAGGTTCATATTATATTACACAATATGAACATTACCCATATTGTATTATATTGCCAAGAACCCAATATATTGCCAGTATGGCAATACATCCCATATATTGCACGTGACCATCGTCATTCAGCTACGGCGGCTAAAGCATCATCGACGTGAAAGTCTCGTATCCCGAACCATGACTTTAGGCATTCCAATGCTTCAATTACATCACTCCCAAGTCGATTTCGGCGGTCCGTAATCGTTATCTTTGCCCCAGAGAAGAGTCGTTCGGGCTCCGCAGACATTGCAGGAATTGAGAGTATATCCACGGCCATCTTGCTCAGGTTCGGGTAGTTTTTCTGCTGCGTCTCTTCTAGCCACCATGCAAGGGCGCTTGTGAAACCATAAGCCCTTTCAGAATTGCAATAACGCTCGTATTCGTCCGTGATGAGTGATGGCTGCAGGTGCTTGTTCCGCCAATTCAAGAACTCGTTCTTGGTCCTCGATGGGACCTCGCAGAGAGGAAGAGGTGATTCCACAGGTTTATATTCGTTCCACAGTGACTCAATTAACTTCTTTGACGACTCAACCCACTCCTTTTTCCAGTTATCCTGTATGTAGTGCCATTTATGCGAAGGGTGGAGCACGATAGCTGCAACGTACGCAGACGATTCATCAGTGAGCCGGTAGTACTTGTCTAAGTTAGTGACCCAGCGCTGCCGTCAAATCAAATTTATCAATCAAATTTATCAATCAATTAATCAAATTAAAGCTATTCTGTGACGAACCAGGTCCTATAGGTTAGTATAGGTTAGCTGTTCCCAAGGGATAAACCTTAGAATAGTTCTAGGGTTTATATTAGCGGAGTAGTTAGGTTGGTAAATAGGTAATTTTATTACTAGCTGTAATGTAAAGTATCTAAATATTTAATTTAATTACTATAATAATAACTAGTTATATAAGTATTTTAATAAGTAATATAAAGTAAACTTATATATTTAGTTATATATTCTAAAGTTAAGTAAAATTAATTATAATTTTAATTAATTTATTTATATATTAATTAAAATTAACGTTAATTTCTATTAACTACTTCTTAATTAAAAAAGTAGCCTAATGTTAATCTAAAAGCGCTTACCCTATAGGCCCTTTATTACAACTATAAGAGCTAGGTTATAATATAATTCTCTCCCTTTTATTAGTTTTATTATAATAAACTAGGTCCTATAGGTACTATAGGTTAGCTGTTTCTAAGGGATAAACCTTAGAGTAGTTCTGTAACGTCCCGACCTAATACTTAATTAGTATAGGGTAAGTTCCTAAGGTAATAAGCTAAGGTTAATTAGTTTATATTAGCAAAGAGGATAAAAAGTAACTTTAAGTAGATATAATTATAAAGTAAGTAAAATATAATAAAAATTTAATTTATATTTAATTTTAATACTTTATTAACGACTATTTATTTAAGTTATTTAAAAAGTATAAAAAATTAAATTTTATATATTTAGTTATTTTAAATAACTTACTTTATAAAGTCTTTTTATACTTAGTAAGCCTATTACCTTAAAGTTAAGGCTTATGTACTACTAAGTATATATCTTAGTAAGCCTTTAAAGGCTTATCTTAATTAATTATTTCCTTTATATTTTACTTAGTAAATATATACTTTAAGTTAGGTTATAATATAGTACCTTTTTTCTATTAGTTTTATCTCTAAGACCTATATAAGTTAGGATATTCCCTTATATTTCTAAAAAAGGTTCTTTATTTATAAAATACTTTATAATATTATTAAATAGCAGTAACCTTTAGTTAAGAAAAAGTTAATAAAAATTTAAAAAGTAGTAGTATTAGTAATTAAAATTATTAGTATTATTATTATACTTTATTTTTATTATAATATAAAGAATCTTCTTTATAAAATAGTAAAAGGTTATAAATAATATAAGGAGTATATATATTATAGTTATTTTTATAATAGAAATAGAATTTCTTTAGTAATTAATAAGTAAATTTTAGTAGTATAGGGTTTTATATTTTAATTAGTAATTAGTATAATAATTAGCTATTAAAAAGGAGTGTTTAAATACTAAAAAGTATTAGACTAAATAAGAGTTATTTTAATAATAGTAATAAATAATATTATTAACTTAATAAATAAATAAAAGGTTTTTTTAACTAGCTTAATTATAAAAGTAGTAGAAATAAATTAATATCTAAGGTAAGTAAATATTTTATTATAGTACTTATTTTTTTAATAAGCTAAATAAAGTAAAAAAAGCAGAGTTAGAAGTAGTAATTAATATTTAAGTAGTAGGAGCTGTAGATATTATTAATTAAAATACAGTTTTTAGTAATACTTTTCCGGATTTTTCTAAGATTACTATTAATCTTTTTTCCTCCTAAGTTTTTAATTTAAGGTATAAAGCTTTAAGTCTTCCTATAATATAGGAGGAAACTTATAGGGTTTTTTCTTTAGGTTTATTTTCTAAGTTTATTTTTAGGTAGCTAGCGTTAAAAGTTTTAAGTATAATCCTAAGTTTTTTTAAAAGTTTTAGATTAGTTTTATTATATTAAAACTTTTAATAAGTTCTTAAGTATTATAAATTAAATTATATTTTTTTTACCTAACTTAGTATTTTATTTTATTATTTTTTTTTAAATTCCTTTATATTACTAAAACTTTCTTAACTTTCTATTTTTCTTTATCTTTAATAATAATAATTTTATTTTAAATTAATTTTTTTATTACTTTATTAATTTATACTTTCTTTAAAAGTAATATATAAAATATAAAGTATTTTAGTTATATACCTTCTGGTATTTTTAACTTATAATTAATATTATTAATTTTCTTTAAAATTTTAAATAGGCTGATTTTTTTAAAATTAAGTTTATTATTTAGTTAGTTTATTTTAATATTTAGTATTTTATAGCCTTATATATATTAAAGTAAGTAAACTATATCCTTTTTTTAAAAAATTAGTTTCTTAATCTTATTTTTATTTATATAATATTTTATACGTTTTTAAATAAGTTCTAGTTATACTTTAAGTTTTTTATATAAGTTAATTATTAATTTAGCTTAAAGTTATACTTTATTAATATTAGGTTTTTTTTAAGGTAGTTTATATACTAAAGGAGTATATTTATATAAAGTATAAAATAATATTAATTTAGTAGATTTAGATTTTATATTATTATAATATAACTATGTAAAAGGTAATTTATTAACTTAATTATTTTACTATAGATTAACGAAATATCTTAGGTATTACTTAATAATTTAATTTATTTATTTTATTTAATTATTTATTTTAGGATAGTATATATTACTAAGTTTATAGTTTACTTTAAGTTTTACTATAAGTTTTTACTAAAACTTAAAAATAAAAGTTTATTTTTTATTAAAAATAATTTCTTAGGGTATACTATAATTAATTATTATTATTTTTAAATATATATATATAAAATCTTTTACTAAGTATAATTTTTAATAAAGTAGAAAATATACTTACTTTATAAATTTATTTACTACTACTAAAATACTATTATAAGTTACCTTAGTAAAAGGTTTTTTAAAAGGTAGTAGGTTTATAATATAATTAAAGGTAACTATTTCCTATAGTAATTTAAGTATTAGTAAAGGTTATAGTTTTTTATAAAGTTTATATTTTTTATATTTAATATATTAATACTTATTATAAGTTACTATAATATTAGCGGTAATTCTTTTTATTCCTTTAAATTAATATATTATAAGTATTTATTAATATATAATTATAATTCCTTAATATTTAAATAGTAGGTATTTATAAATATATTTTATAACTTTTTTTTATAATTTAGGAGGTACTTAATACTTATTTTTATTTATAAAGTATTTATCCTAGATTATAACCTAAGATAGAAACTAATATAATTCTTAGTTTTTTATATACTCCTTAATTTCTTTAAAAAGTTTATTATATTTTTATATTTTAAAGATTATATTAAAAGATCTTTATTTATAATTACCTTATGTATTTTAGTATAATATAGTACTTTAATAATTAGGGATTTCTTAAAAGTAATTAATTTTTTTACTAAGTATATTAGCTTTTTTATTTTCTAATCTTTTATAGTATATTAGTTTATAATTAAATTTACTTAGGAATTTAAAGTATTTTAGTTATTATTTAAATAGCTTTTAAGTAAATATAAAGTAAGTAATATTCTAATAATTAGTAAAGATCTTAATTTAGAATTTACTTCTTTTATAATATTAGCTTTACTATTTTAAATAGCTTTTAATTCTTAAGAATTCTTTATTATAGACTATATAATTAAGTTTAGCTTTATTAAGCTTTTAGAAGTAGAATACTATAGGGTAAAGTTTCCCTTTATTATTTTATTAATTTAGTACTCCTTTAATTATGTATTTTAATACGTTAGTTTTAATTTCTACTAGTTTCTTAGGGTTATATATAGTTAGTATAGGTTTTAAGGCTATAGTTTATTTAATTACTTAAAATACTTATTTAGCTTCTTTTATTTAATTAAACTTTTAATCTTTCTTTATTATATTAGTTAAAGGTTAAGTAAAAGTTAAGAAGTTTTAAATAAAGTATTAGTAATAATTAACTAATTTAATAAAACTTTATATTTTTTTAATTAACGTTAATATTAGCTATTTATTAATAATAGTAATTTTCTTTAGATTTATTTATATAGTTTTAGGGGTAATAATATATTTTAAAAATTCTACTTTTTATATATAAAATTAGTATTTCTTAAGGTTTACGAGGAGGTAGTTATTTTATAGTGCTTAGAGTATTAATTATATATATTCTTTATATTTTTTTTTATTTTTAGAATATATTAGGATATTATCTAGGTATATAATAATAAATTTATTTTAATATTTTTAAAGGATATAGTTAATTTTTTTTTAGAAGAATACGGGCGTATTTATTAATCCTTAAGGTATTACTTAGAATTTATAAGATTTTCCTAAGCTACTGAAGGCTATTATTTATTTATATCCTTCTTTTATTTAAGTTAATCTATAGGTATTAGTAAGGTTTAACTAAGTATATATAATAGCTTTTTATAGCTTGTCTTTTACTTTAGATATTAGTAGTAAGGGGGTCTGATTTTTAATTATAATGTTATTTAATTATCTATAATTAATAATTAATTGTAGTTTCCTATTTTTCTTTAGAATAAAAATAATAAAATATTATACTAAGGAGTTAGAAATTTTAATATATTCTTTCTCCTTTTATTTTTATATTTATTTATTAAGAATATTTAGTTTTAACTAGTTAAAATTATATAGCAGAAAATACTTTAGTTATTTCCCTTTTTTTAATTTTATTATATAGTCCTATTTAGTATAAGGTAGTATTTATATACTTTTATTAAGATTTTTTAAGGTTTTTTAAAATAAAGCCTTAAATATCTAATATTACTTTAAAATATTAACTATTAAGTTTACAGGTTTTTTTATTTTTTCTTTTTAATTATTTTATTTTCTTTTTATAGTTTTTAAAAATTAGTTAAGTTTATATAAGTTTTATTTCCCTTTAGTAAACCTTTTTAGGGATTAAGCTTCTGCAGTTTTTATTTA